TCTTCTATTCATGGCCTTATTCTATAAATTTTATTTTAATCTTTATAGCTAAGTGAATATCTTATTCAAAATATTATTTAATCCTTTATCTTACTGTGAAAATAACTAGTTTTCTGGAGGAATTTAACAATGAGGTTTTTTGCTTTTTGGTGGCCTCCCTTATAACTTTTATGTTTTTGAAGACTCCAAAAAATCCATAGAACATAGTTCATGACTTCCCTAACTTTGTCCTTATATATAATGCTCATTGGTGTACCCAAATTGCTTGTTTTGTGCAACATTAAAAATTTCATGTATCAGCAGATAAACAAATATCTTGACTCATTTTATGGTAGTACTGCTAGCCAATAGCTTTGTGTTCAATGCCACAGAATTTACCCCAAAGAAATGTCTGTGCAAGTACTTCATTGCTTTTGTGTACTTTGTTCTTATTCCTTTAAAAAGAGGTATCAATAAAATTGGTATATTACTAACACTTGTCATAAGCACCTTTGGTCTCTTAATACTCATCATGAGAGCTAATATAATTTGTGCTCAGCACAGTTCTAAACACTACATTTTCTTTAATTCTAGTGAAAACATTATGAAGTGGGTGCTTTTATCATGTCTATATCGCAGATGGTAAAACAAAATCTTAGAGCAATCTAATAACTTTCCAAGGATCACATGGTTATTGAGCTAAGCAATGAAATACGAGACAGAAAGAAGGAATATTTTAATCTTAGCTGCAAGCTCATTTGATGAAATAGAGATGTTGAAGTGTTCAGATTCTTAAAAAATTGAAAGTAAAGAATATTCTAGTCATATACTGTTGAAGCTAGAGTTCAAAGGGCAAGATGTAATTAAAGGTGATATGTGTTCTATTACCCCAAAGTAGAAATTTCTTACATCTAAGAATGTTTTACAGTTTCGCATATGCAAGGTGTAGATTCTTTTCAGGAATTACATAGAGGATTTGGATGTATATCAGATTCAATTTTGTGCTATCATTGATTTTCTAATTCTAGACTGTAGGGTTCTCTTTCATGTTAGTGTGCGTATATATGTGACAGTCCTTTAAAATTCCACAACAGACAAAAACCACACAACAACACATTGAAGCATACAAGCTATTATATATTTTCATAATATAGAACTTTAAGGTATAATAATCAACAGTGGCAAAATATTTCTGTCTTTGACATTATTTTGTGAGATTCAACCTATAATCGAGACCAGAGAAAACAGCATGGAAAAACAAATCCATAAGAACAGGATAAAAAATATCATGAACAGCAAAATATGTCAGAGTATTTAAAACCATATAGAAAAAATAAATTAGATGAACCATTGTGTAAATATAAATTAAAAAAGATGACATTCTTAATAAATAAAGTTTACTATTTACATTTTTATATATTGCTGAAAGACTTAACTTAGATCCATAAAAACACATAAACAGGAAAAAAATTAAAACCCAAAATAGGAGCAGCAAATTTATGCGCGTGAGGTACAGAAAAAGGATCGGAGTTATGTTTAGTTTTTGGTGTTTAGATTGTTTTCTTTCTTTCTTCCTTTCTTTTTTTTCTTAACAATAGGCCAGTAGAATTGTCATGAGAACAGATTTTTTTAAGCACTTCAATGTAGAGTCATTTTTGGTAGCTTCCAGAAAGGTGCCAAACAGATTTCAACATCATAATAATTAGAAATACCCATAATAATTATAACAATAATAAAAAGGTATAATATGATACATAAATATGGAAGAGCAGTTTGTAATATGAATACATTTTCTCTAGAAGAGATCACAGTTTTATTTTGTAAATATTACATTTAAGTATATATATACACACATATATGTACAACTATATATATACATGTGCATATATATGTAAATTTATATTTATATATAATATCTTTATATAGATAGATATCTGCAGACAGGTTACTGATTATAGAGACCCAAGAAAGCAACTCAATAATTGTTCAAAATTCTCCTCACTAACTGCTGGTGTATAGTGTAAGAAGCCCCGAGTTGTTTGCACTCAGAATGCCATTTACTTCTTTTAATAGAAAACTCAATGTGGAAATTTGAGTCTGAGAAGTGAGTAGTTTGCTGAAGAAGAGATGTTAGAGACTCCCTTCTCTAACTTTCCTTCCAAGTTGGAAATGGCCTGGAAATCTTGAATAGACAACAATAAGCTTACTTTTTCTCTGTAAGAAATATTTGGCTTTTAACCAAATCATTGAACTGATAAAAACCAGAATAAGGGGAAGAAACTAGAATTTAGCTAAAAAGTGAACTATTCCCCAGCATACTGTCTTAAGGTGGACTATAATCCAGGATGTACAGCTTTGTGCCTTCAAATATCAAACACACACTCCCCATCTTTCTTAAAAGGCCAATGGGCCTGTGCATTCTTCAAAAATAACTCATGGACTTTGCTCTCACAGATTGCCACAGCTAACTTAAAACCTCAGGGCCTCACAATCCTCTGCCCTCCCACTGTGAGGTAGGTAAGTAGTAATATCCCCATTTTGTATCTAGAGAAACTGAGACAAACAGAGGCAATTTCATAACTTGTTCAAGATCAATGAACATATTACTGCCTGGAGTGAAGGATTCTAGATTTTACCTTAGGGACATAATTTCTCTCTTGACTATTACACATGAGCTCATTCTTTTTCTTTTCTTTTTTCTTTTTTTTTTTTTTTTTTGTGGTACTGGGGTTTTAAACTCAGGGCTTCATGCTTGGTAGGCAGGTGCTCTACCATTTGAATATGTCCCCAGCCCTGTGGTTACTATAAGTTTCTCTTAAAAAGCAAATGATTGGTAAATATTATTCAAAACTTGAATAAACTATAAGAACATCATTTTTCCCCCCGTTTTCTATTTAGTTTTTGTATTTGTTGTTTACCTGGTTTATTTGGTTTCTTAAAATTCATTGGAATTACCTGTCTGGACATGTAGCAGCGTGTTAGAATATTGGGCTGTGCAGTATGGTTCTGAGTGCAGTCTTTATGAAGCCCAGTGCTATACTGGCAAATATAAATATTCTTATAATGTGAAAAGCAAGACAACACAATATGTCCCCTTAACATTTGGTAAAACCAACATCAAGCCCTCCCCTCTCCCCACTACTATAGACTGCCATCAAACAAATGAACAGAAAGCTATCCCCCATAACAAATGAATGGGGGAAATGCATATTTTCTGGACCTACCACAATGTACAGAAAATAACAGTGCTATAAAATCCCACTCTATGTCTTCTAGGGAGATCTTTATGCTGTATCTATTTAATCAGTCTGTAGAATAAACAATTTTCTTTAGGAAACATAAAAATAGGGGTTTTATTCTTAGTTTTTAATCATGCATTTTTATTTCCTTTTAATCTTTTTGACTTCTATTAATTTCTATCTGTACAGCTTTGTCACCATCAATTGATTCTCTTTATTTTCTCACTTGAAGTAGTTCCAGAAATAAAATAACATAAAACCTCAAAACTGTTAACGTGACTTCATGATTTCTTTCCTTATTCCTCTCTTTCTTTCTTTCTATTTTTTCTTTCTTTCTTTTTTTAAACACAGGTAAGACCTATATCAAATCAACAGTTACAACCAAGTTAAATTGAACCTGGAAGGGAGGTAGCTGAAATCTGTCTCAAAGAATTATTTTCAACAAATAGCATTTAAGCATTGGCCAAGGAGGGAATAAGACCAAGAGAACTGTCTAGGCAGTAACCCAATAGACTGAAGCCAAGAGCAGCAGCTGATACCCTACATCTCCAAAGACTTGCTATTTATGATGGTTAATCTCTCTTTTCCTTTGTATCTCAATTCACCTACCCAAATTGACTTCCCAAGCACTGTGATTCCCTTTCAAGGTTGTTGGCACAGAATTTGGGGGTGACACAAGTTCTCTGGGCAGGCAGTTAGGTTTATGGCTTGAAAATGCTTCCCAGGATGGTATTCAGAGAACTGTCCACCTCATCTTTGCCTCCATGCTGTTAACTCCCAAGTGTCTTAGGGCCCCTGAGTGTGGATGCACAGCAGTGCCTCATTACCATTTTCTTACGAGTACCTCTAAACAGAAATTCCCAAGAAGAAAATGGAACTGAGGATCAGTTCATTGCATTAGTAGAGCTGACCTCTTCCACTAAAATTTGAGAAAAGCCCATTAATTATACCTTCCACATGGGAATAAAGCTGGCTACCAATAAATTAGCCTCTTTTGCCTAATATTCTCAGCAAATATAAATTTGTTATTAGCAGGTTTGAATCACAGTGTGGAAGAGACTGAATGGGTCTTTATCTAGAAGGGCTTAATTCTGTCTAAAGAAAGAAGTCAGTTTCTGGGAATCTTTCCTCATCTGTAGAGTGGTGGGAGTGAAGGTAGAAATGGGATGTTGATGGACTTAAGGGAAGCTAGTGAGATTTTTCTGTGGTTCCTGTCATCCCATCATTAGTAATGTCATCGTTTGGTCTTCTGAGATTTTTGTATGGTTAATGGGTAGAATTTAAGTCACTGCAAGGGCTGACCTTGTTGCCTTTCTTAGTTTGTACATTCTAAGCTAACATCATGCTGGTTGATAACTCAGTCAAGGCAAAATAGGGGCACTAAGGAATTCTAAGATACGGGAGAGGGATACAAAATGGGGTCTACTCTCCTAATGTTCTTTTCTTTTGCTGAGGCTTGGCTCTGGTGGTTATAGAAAAAAAAAAATCTCTGGGTCTAAATGTGATATGGTTTTTATAAAGAGAAAACAGAAAGGATATGAGCACTTGGCCATCACAATGGTGGCTGCCTCTCCATTCTGGAACCCAATCACAGAGTTTGTAACATGGGCAAGCCATGTAAGGTAAGCATTGCACCTTATGTGTAGGCACCTGTATAAAAAGCATCTTGATATATTTCTTAATTTAACAGACCATAGATGGTCAGTAGATGCCTTTTCAGGTGTTCTTGATCAGCAGACAAAAGCTGTTGGGAATGATATAAGATGACAGTTTCTGAAGTTATTTTTGGTCCTAGTAAGATTAATAGTGCCTGCCTTGGATGCAGGAATTAAAAGGGGCTGTGTATGTGTCTGGTATTTTCCATTTCTGTCCTAGATTTTGCTTTTACTGGTTGCCTTCACTAGATTTGAGACCAGTTGATTTCCACTCATATTTATGTGATATAACTAGCTTAGATCGTCCTATCTCCTTTCCTCCCAACTCCAGGGTTCAAAAAATATGTCAAACTTAACTGCTCCCTCCACCTCATCCTATTAGTCTCTTTCCTTATTAATTCAATGGGAGTGGACAGGAAACTGAATTAAAAGAGGCCCTAAAAGAGGTGGGAACTTCCATGTACAATTGACTACTTTGCTCTTAACTTTTGGAGACTGAATATGGGAGAGAGAGAAGAGTCGTCCAGCTACAAGTGTAGAAAGGTGGCTGGAACATTTAATGGAAAATGTGATGACCATGTTGGGTACTGAGGCTGTGATCTCTTAAGCTTCCTTCTGATGACCGTCTAGAACACAGTCCACACTGATCATACTCGAGATGGTTCTCTGTTCCAGAATCACATCTACTCAAAGTAACAGCGAGGTTGGCCAAAGTCCACTCTAGCCTGGAGGGCTAGGGTATTTAGGTTAAGGATAATAACTCAAGAGTCTGGACAACTCCATCAGCCTCTGGATGGCTGCAACATCCCAGAAATGTAACACTGTTTCACTTGATTACAAAATCTAACACTGGTTTAGCCATTCTGGACTCTTAGGAAGGGCTCCAGCATCTGAGGTCTCTTCCACTCCCAGGAGACTTAACCTCTCACCATGTGGGCCCATGAGGGTTTTTCTCTTACAGAAGGGCTATGAAGTGAGGAACTGTGGGAAAATATGAGTCGCTTTTAAGGCAGACTGTTTGGTTGTGTGGGGTTTTCCTAACCTAGTTCTACCATCTTGGGGTACTCAATGTATACGATAGAGCAGCAGGAAAAGTAGCAGCAAATGTGGTCCCAAGGCAAGAACTGGGGAATGGTGGGATCTGGAGGAATGTTATGACCTCAAGCCTCAAGCAGGGGGCTGGTATAATACCTTGACTTTGAAGTCCTAAGCCATTTCCAGCTTGGCCTCGAACCCTGGTGTTGGGGTAAAATCCCCATGGCAGCAGAAGAATTTGGGGGAGTTTTGCATTCCTTGGAAATCTTTATCTCTTCCTGGGCCCTAATTCCCTAGAAGGTTTGGTGATCAAAGACCATTTCACTTCCAGTCCCAAAGGACTGCACAATAGTGCACAGCCTATATATTCAGAGCCTCGGAGTGTGAGTTATCTTGGCATCTCAGTACTTGGTCTTAGCAGCTTTTATAACTCTCTTTCTCCCAAGGACAATGTTGGCTAGGAGCCTGGGAAAGGAAAGGATAAGTTTGTTCCAGTCTTTCTGCTCAGTCTCCAGAACTGCCCTCACACAGATATTTTTGTATGGGTGTGTATGCATGCATGTGTACTAACCACAGATGTGCATACTCCTGGATGCAGAACACGTTTTTGTTGTGGTCATATGACAAATGATTAGAATTGTAGGAGGCTCTGGAACTGCACACTGTATATGCAATCCATCTCAGACTTTGAGATGGGATTCCATTCCATCATTCTACATGGCAAGACTTTGTTATTTGCCTCACCATGGGTCCTTCCTGGGTGAAATTAAAGGCAGAACGGTTGGGTGCTAACTATCCCTGGTGTGGAGAGGTCATTCCATTGAGCAGCGGACTGTGAAAACAATACCAAAGGGATGCGGGTCCTGCCACTGGGAATTCTTTGACAACTCCTTGTCCTGCCTTAACCATGGCTGTATTCCCGGAGGTCTTTCCGGTTGTGTTCTTGGGCTTCAGGGTCCCGACAAGCACAGTCATCTTGTAGGTCACAGGACATAGGGAAGGGGGTTACCTGCAGAGTAGAAAACAGAAGGTGTGGATTAGGTGATGTGGTCTAAAGCAGTAATTATCAGAGAGGAATGCCAGGGGACAACCACTAGATTTGAGGAGCAGGAGAGATCAAGTCATGGCTCAGTTTCTTATTAACACTGTGATAACTTTTATTAATAACACCATGGTCAATATCATAGCAGTTTCCATTTGCAGAGGCACTTGTTATGAGCCCAGCAATATGCTGAATACTTTCCAGAAAGAAAATACTGGGCCCCTTTTGAAACTCTGTAAGAAATCACCCTTTTATTGATGAGAAAACTGAGGCTAAAGGGGCAGGCATTAGCCAAAATAATAAGTGAAACATTCATTACTAAGACAAGCTACTTCTTTCTGAACTTCAGAAAGAACTGGTAAAATAAGATCCACACTGTACATTATAAGAGCTGGGTAAAATTGTGGGTTAGAAATTACAATGCACTCTACCAAAGTTGATTAATGTAATTGTGTGATGGACTGTCTAATGTATAGGACTATTGTGATAATCAAGTGAAAAAAGGATGTTAAAGTGTCTTTAAAAAACAAACATAGCTCTCTGCACATATTGGTAGTTTGGGTTTGGGAAGACAATGATGAAAAAGAAAAGTTCGCCTTAGACAAGATTAGACTACTTGCCATGGGACCTGAAATCTTGAGTGGAGGATATTTTGCTCACAGATTTTGAACAAAATTTGTTTGAAGAACCTCAAAAGCAAGCTTTAGCATAAGAAAAAGTGTGATGCCTGAGTTCGGGTTAACAGTCAATTCCTTCCTGTGCTCTGTGACCTTGGGCTGACTTGCCTTTCTAGAAAGTGATAGGAAAAGCCCAACAGAGCAAATATCTTCCTCATCCAGCACATGATCCATCTTTCCAAAGAGCACAGTACAGTCCCTGCTGAGTCCCAGCCTGAACTAACGCAAGTAGATTTCACCTCGTTGCATCATGACATTTGCTTGTAGCTTTCCCCAGAGGGTCCCCCATCTGCACAGATGGATTTAATGACCTCATTCGCCTCCTGCCTGGGTCTCCAAGTGCAGAGTTTCTGGGAGCATCTTTGTTTCTCTCCCTCACTCTCATGTACTTGTGGACTCATTCCCTGTGTCTAGTTCTTCTTTTTTTTTTTTTAATCTCTGTCTCTTTGCCCTCCCTTTCCTCTCTCTGTTCTTTCTTCTCTCTTTCCCTCTCCACACATGGTTCCTAATCTCTATCCTAAAATTGTGTAATAATTTAAAATGTAGGACTAAGCATCAGGAAGATTTAAGTATTAACCCATGCTCTTTCACCAACTTAAGGTGTGAACTTGAACATTTGACAAGTCTCTGAGCCTTCATTAAGTCATTTGTTAAATGTGAATAATGGAAGCGCAGATCTGGGTAAGTGAAATAGCTCATGAAAAACACCCAGGGTGGTTCATGGCATATACTAAGTGCTCAATTATAGACACACACACACACAATCAATCAATATCTCTCCCCACCCCTCTGATCTATCTTCTTACCAATTTTGTGGGTACTGAGGCAAAGACCATGTCAATCTCACTCATCCTTGTTTTCTCAGAGCCTAAACCATAGAATAAATGTATTTCTATTGCTTTTTTATTCATTTCTCCATCTCTCTTTGTTTATGTCTAAGACCTCTGCTTCTCTTTTCAATTTAAATTAACAGGTGCTTGATGCTGTGTTAGCAGTTTGGGTTTCTTTTTCTATGTATCACTTCTCTTTTTGTTTACAACTACAACTGTTCTCTGTTCAGGACATTTGTACTTCAGCCTTCAAGACATTGTAGGATAAATCTAGAATGTTCCCTCTGGAATCTAGAGTATTTATTCCACCATAACATCTAGAATTATTTCCCACAACCTCTTTGCCTTCAAAAACAGTAGAGTACTCTAACTGGAAGAGATACAGAAAGAAAAGACTTCAGTCCAAGTGGGGAAAACGAGGTCAAACCAAGTCAAACTGTAATTGCTAAGGTAACCTGTGGAAGGAACCATGCTGACCACCCAACTGGGCTCAGTGGGTCCAGTTGCCTCATACTCATTTAACAATGTTGAGAAAATTATTTCGCTGACATGGCCCTTAGTTTCCACATCTATAAGTGAGAGAGTCTAAAACAAGCCCTGTATTTCATATAGTTGTGTGAAATGAACAAGAACAAACACACAGAAGCCTCGGTACATGTCTCCACATATACGATATGCTCAATGATGAATACATATGGACTGACTCATGTTTCACCTTCTTCCGTGCCTATTGTCTCTTCTCACCCACCTCTCAGACTTGGACAACCTCTTTATCCTCAATTCACCCATACCTTTATCTAACCCTTTTTACCACCCTTGCTCACATTACAATACAGTTATACTAATATCTTCTCAATAATTGTCTCTGTAACTCCTTCCCTTTAAGCTCTAAGATCTTTAGGATAATTTCACATCCCCATCTCACACAGGCAAGTATTTAACAAATTCTATCTCTTACAATAGAACACACAAGTTTAAGGTCTTGCGTCAACTGATTGCTATACAATTTTCAGTCCTCAATTTGTTCCCTTTTCCCCCTTAACTCTCTGTGGCTTTACTTATTTATTTATTCCTCAGATAATCCAAATATGTTCTTATTTTTAAGTCTTTAGCTATTTATATTCCTCAACGTTGATTGCTCCTCCCTGGCCAGCTCCTTTTCATTCTTCAGGTTGTATCTCGAGCATCACCTCTTTCCTCATTGGCCTGGATATTGGTGCCATCACTTTCATATTATATCACAGCATCCTATTTTCATACATTTCTTGTACTAAATCGCTTGTATGCCAGCTCAGTTTGGGAAAGGGCCAGGTATATTGTTCAGCTAAATCTTTACCAAGTAAAAGCATCCAGTAGGCACATAAATAACAAATGCATGTACAGACAGACAACCCAAGTCAGGGAGTGCTCTTGCACTCACTTGCTGAGTGACTTTGCACAAGTTACATCCCCTTGTTGTGCTTCATTTTCCCTAAATGTATAATAAGAATTAATATGCATGACCTCTAAATTCTCATCTGGCTAAAATCCTTTTCAGTATGGAGAAAGATAGAAGGAAAATCCCTGCCCAGAAAGGAATTAGACGTGTGTGTGTGTGTGTGTGTGTGTGTGTGTGTGTATGTGTATTTATGTGTGTGATACTGGATGTCGAACCCAGAGCCTCACACATACCAGGCAAACACTCTACCACTGAGCTACTTTCACTAAGCTTAGGAATCAAAAACAGACTTTCCCCCCAAAACCTTGCCTCACCTCTTGTTCTTTCTGCCTTCCCTATTTCTATTAGTGTCTTCAAAATCATTGGCCAGCAGAACCCTGTCACCAGTTAGCTTCTCAGGCTGGTCTGGACACTCTGGCTATGCAGAAGGGGTATCATCATTGCCTCCCACCCCAGATCAACTAGGAAGTTTTAGCATTTCATAAAGAAACATGCCTGGAAAATCAAAGAAGGAAACCCAATCAGAATATGGTGACTTCTAGAAGCTTTTATCTCTGAAAGCAGGTCCAAAGCCTCCTTGTCCCCACCATACACTTGTAGGTACATCCATATTTATTAAGCTCTTGCTAGGAGTTTAGAATTCAGTTAAAGCATCCACATAACAATTATGTGATTTTCAGCAAACTCCTTGCAGACTTCTGGACCTCAGACTCCCCATCTGTAAGACAGAGGTTCTCCTAAAGACCTCACATTGTTTTGGAGAGGAGTCAATGAAATCAGCTCATCTTCAAATGAGCTTTCATTGGCTCAATGAGGAGGAGATACATAGAGCTTGACCTGCAAAAGATGGGGGGAAGCCTGTTGATGCAGGGTCAGCCATAAGCCCTAGTGTACATACAAACTAGTCATTCTTGAGGGCCTTTTACATGCTAGCTCATTGACTCTGAACAACCTTGGAAGGTTATCATTATTAGCTAATCACCTTGAAGGTAACAAAAATCAAAGCTTGAGAATGTTTAAAGAAAAATCAACTTCCCCGTCAGTAAGTTGATGGTGCAGGACTCTTAATCCCATTCCAAACACTGAAAGTGAAAGGTAAAAAATGCATTTTCTTCAAAACCTGGGAGGGTTTACTGCTGTTCTTGTCTTCTTAACAGCTAATGGCCTTTACCCTTTATAATATGCCTGGCATTGAGTTAAACTCCATGTACATTATTTTACTCATGCTTCCCAGCCACCCTAATGAGGCAACTGTTCTTACTATTCCCGTTTTACACCTTAGAAGAAACTAAGATGCAAACAAATGAGTCACTGGCTGGCAGGTGGCCTGAGATCTGCATCTATGTTTATAATCATTCCTCAATACCATCCCTCAGGAAGCAGAAAAGAGTGTTGTCATAGAGGAATAAACTGAGGCATAGGGAGAAGAATCACAACCCGAGAAAGTAAGAGCTCTGAGTTTGATTCTCAGATTTCCTGACTCTCCAGGCACCTTCTGCCCCAGATGGCCTCCCATGAAACCCTACCACACACAGTTTGAACACCATAGTGAACAGTTTATATTTGGAGATTCCCAGCTCTATGTGGCAGGCTATCCCATAAATGGCTTGGGCACTCACTCCAGGCTCTGTTAACAAGCCAAGGTCAATTTCTCAAAGCCAGGATTCTCTTCTTTTTCCACTGGCTAGAGATGGTGCTCAGGCACAGGGCTTTCTCCTTCTGGGTGAGCTGCCCAGGCTAATGCCTCCATCTGTGGGTGTGAGAGGTTCAGGAGTGAAGCTTAGGCAAATATACTACAAGTCTCTGGTTATAGATCTTGTCTGGGATTGGAGACAGGCAGAGGCGATTCTGACTCAGACTCAATGAGAAGGTAACAAGCAGAGAGTGGTGTGTGTGTGTGCATGTGTACATGTGTGTGTGTGTGTGTCTGTGTGAGTGTTGTGTGTATGTGTGTGTATATGGTGGGTAAGCAAGAGGCATCCTGTGCAGGTGGTCAAAAAGTTGTGGATATGCCTCCTGCTG